CAGCATACGACCCCAACAAGGTACTACGTAGGAGCCTTTGGGTAGTCTCTTATAAAACCCTGACCCCTGAATCCTGAACCCTTGGCTGACACAGCTACTTGGAGATCAGAAGGGCCCAGAGCACGTATATTCTTAGGGTGCGGGTATCCGCAAGGTTCTTGCATGTCAGTGTTTTACGTGGCCTTTCAGGGGTACTTTGAGTGGGCATCTAGGCCCCAAAACCCGAAACCCGAAACCCCAAACCCCAAACCCTAAACCCTAAACCTCTTGAAGGCGACGGAGATATGGAGTGCCACAAACTACGGTGAGCTCCATCGCGAGGCCACACACTCAACCACTGGAAGGTTCAGGGTGTGCAGGGTCCTGCAACCATCGAAAGGGGCCCCTTCAGCCGACACCCTAAAGCCCTGAACGCTCCTTTCGCTGATGTGCTACCTCCTCCCCAAAAAATGTATGACCATTTTTTGTCAAGGCTGTTACGGTACGGTCGAACAATGTATATTAAGAAAGGCTGGCTTAGATTCTCAGATAGTTCTCAAGTCCGCTGGTTGAAATAAGAAAGTTGCAATCCTGGTGAGAGTTTGAAAGAGATTTCTTACCCTAAACCCTAAACCCTAAACCCTAAACCCTAAACCCTAAACCCTAAACCCTAAACCCTAAGCCAGAGGGTCCAATTCGGTAAGGAAGTTGGAAAAGAGCGAGGTTTGGAGCTTTCAGACCATGTGCTCTCCGCACCTTGCGCTTTTCAAAGCAGGTCACTGGCCCGCACCCCGAAGCCCTTAAGCCCTTCATAGCTTGGGACAACTAGGTGGAGGATCATGATTGACATTGTGCTTCAGAGGCTTTAAGGGGCCAAGCCAGTGCGCAAAAGAGAAGCTCTGCAGGGGATTCGTAGCTTGAACACCTACATAAGCCAACATACTGTCAACATAGGATTTAATTCCTCCTGGGCGAGAGTCTCAAGTATTTTATGTCTGGTCCGGCCGGAGTCTTTTTTTACATGTTTATCCTGAACCCTAAGCCGTCCCTCTAAATTGTAATTAAGACCAACATTGTTCTTGGAAGCTTCTGGGCATGTCCTTGAAAACAACCGAACTTTGCCCATGGAGGAAAGAACAATGAGCAGGCCCTCCGGCCAAACACGTCCCCCAACGCAAAACTAAATTTGCCTCTCGGAAGCTTCTAATATATGATCTTCACAAGGTAGCTTCAAAAGCAACATAGGCCAGAATTAGAATATTCGGCTTGGCTGGAGTGTTTGGGTAGTCTTGGGGTGGGCATGTCCTCATACGATTGCGCCCGCTGACCGATGCTACGCTCTAAACCCGAAACCCTAAACCCCTAAACCCGAAACCCTATACCCCAAACCCGAAACCCCTAAACCCCTAAACCCCTAATCCCCTAATCCCCTAAACCCCTAAACCCCTAAACCCCTAAACCCCTAAACCCCTAAACCCCCAAACCCGAAACCCCTAAACCCCTAAAACCCTAGACCCCTAAACCCCTAAACCCCTAAACCCCGAAACCCCTAAACCCCTAAACCCCTAGACCCCTAAACCCCTAAACCCCTAAACCCCTAAACCCCTAAATCCCTAAACCCCTAAACCCCTAAACCCCTAAACCCGAAACCTTAAGGCAACCCTGACGAGAGGCTGTGCGCGCCGAGAGGATAGCAAGGCTTAGACCGCACGAGGCCGGTCCGGTGATGTCAAGGTTTAGGGTTTAGGGCAGGATACACGGTTTAGGGTTGGGGGTGTTTAGGGTTGAGGGGTTTAGGGTTTAGTGGTTTCGGGTGTAGTGTAGGGGTTTAGGGGGTCAGGGTTCAGGGGTGTAGGGTTTAGGGCTTAGGGGTTGGGGGTTTGGGCCGAAAGGGTAAAGGGGTTGGGTTGTAGGACTTAGGGGAGTTCGGGCTTAAGGGAGACAGGATGCTGACTGCGGCGTTGTTCTCTTACGAACCCGGCGTGCAGCGCAACGCATCCAATCTGCGGTCTTTCAGCCCTTCTGTTCTGCCTGTCTTGAGTGTCCCAAGCCCTTCGCAACTCTGGACTCTGAACCCTGAGCCCGAAAGCCTTCTTTGCCTGAAGACCCGCCCCACGCCCAGGTACCCTCCTTTCAGGTCAGTTTTATAAACCCAAAACCCTAAACCCTAAACCCCTAAACCCCTAAACCCCTAAACCCCTAAACCCCTAAACCCCTAAACCCCTAAACCTCTAAACCCCTAAACCCCTAAACCCCTAAACCCTAAACCCTCAACCCTCAACCCTCAACCCTAACCTGGAACTTCCCTACCATGGGTCAGGAATCTTGAAAGAACACCCCGGTGAGGCCCAAGCCCTCCTAAACTCGAAGCCCCAAACCTAAGCCTCAACCCCTAGATCCGAAATGCCAAATCTTAGCGCCCGAAGAATCTAAGCCTTCCCTGAACCGTAAACCCTAAACCCTGAACCCTAAACCCTGAACCCTAAACCCTAAACCCTAAACCGAACCCTTAACCCTAAACCCTAAACCCCTAAACCCCTAAAACTCCTAAACCCCCTAATCCCGCCCTAACCCGTAAGCATGCCCAGGCCAAGCCAAGCTGTCACGTAGCAGACTGCCTGGGCGACTGGGAGGGTGTCACCGTCATCGCTTCGGATAACGTGGCGGGGGGCCTCAGGGCAAGTAGAAGAAGGGTTTAGGGTTTAGGGTTTAGGGTTTAGGATTTAGGGTTTAGGGCTCAGGGTTTAGACTTTAGGGCTTAGCTTAGAGTTTAGATGATACTAGATAGGCAGATGGACAGATGCGTTCCCAAGCTGGACAGGTTAGAGACAGACATGCAGGTAGACAGAGCACAATGCACGTTTCCCGAGCCCCCGCAAAATGCTGCGACCCTCAACCCTAAACCCCAAACCCTAAACCCTAAACCCACACCCTAAACCCTACCCCCCAATTCCCAATGATTTCCGAAGCCCGAAGCGTGGTTTCAGTGAATCAACAGCTTCTTGGGCTTCGAAAGCCGCGCCCCAGACCCGATGGCACGTTAAAGTCACGTTAAACCCTAACACCCCTCCTGAAATCCCTAAGAACTTACGCTAAACCCTTAAACAGCCCTACAAAATCTAAAATCACTAAAGCCCTCAAAACCTAAACCCCCTACAAACTCTGAAAGAAAACCCTATAGTCCCGCAACCCTTCGGTGAGACACCTGCCCTCCACGGGATGGCCTGGCCGCAGCTCATAAAGAAACCCTGAACCCTTTAAACCCTAACGCCCTAACACCCTCACCCCGAAACCCTAAACCCTAAAACCCTAAACCCTAAACCCTAAAACCCTAAACCCTAAACCCTAAGCCCTAAGCCCTAAACCCTAAAACCCTAAGCCCTATAAGCCCTAAGCCCTAAGCCCTAAACCCCATTCCACCGAGACGGCCTACCCGCAGCTCATAGAGAAGTACGTGGGTGGCGAGCTTGTCATCCTTGGCACCGATGGGTCGAGGGCCTGCAGTTTGGGTCGGTGGTGTGGTTCAGGGTTTGGGGTTAAGGTTTGGGGGTTTAGGGTTTTAAACCCTGAACCCTTATAGGGTTTAGGGTCTAGGGCTCAGGGTTGAGGGTTTTAAGTCCCAGAGGCAACCTCTTAAGAAGGGCCTCATGGATCATGGGTTCCCCTACTACACCCCTCTATACTACCCCCCTAGGTTCCCCCTTAAATAACCTTAATTAAGCTTAATTATCCGGGGAACCTAGGGGGGGTAGTATAGAGGGGGGTAGTAGGGGAACCTATGGATGGAGTTTGTGGAGGGCCTACAGCCCTAAACTCTTGAAGCCTGAGCCACTAGAATCTGAGCCGGCTTCATCAGATACAGCTCTGCGCAAGACATACTAGACTGCGTCCGCGACTGTATGGCCGAAACCAAGATTTAGGATGTGGGATTGTCGTTCGGAGGCTTTCATGGTGTATGTAAGGTTTTGGAGTTGGGGTCTGTCTCTTAACACATTTGAAGGCTGAGGGTTGGAGCCTTAGTGATATTTATCAGGTTTTTGGCTTAGGGTTTAGGGCTCGGGTTTGAAAGGGTTTTGGGTTTTTAGGTGGCGGGGTTAAAGAGATTCATGGTATCAAAATTCCCTAAACCCTAAACCCTAAACCCTAAACCCTAAACCCTAAACCCTAAACCCTAAACCCTAAACCCTAAACCCTAAACCCTAAATCCGCCGTTGCCTTCCAAGGTTCGGCAGGTCGGACACTCGCATGGCCCTGCGACGCTTCTTCGAGGTGCTCAGGGCTTAGGATGTGGGGGAGCTTAAGGGGTTTTGGGGCTTAGGGTTTAGGGTTTGGGGTTTAGGGTTTGAGGTTTGGAGTTTAGACTTTGGGGTTTGGGGTTTAGGGTTTATGGTTTGGGGGGGCTTTAAGGGGGGATTTGGGTTTTTTTTTGGGCATTATGGGTTTTGGGTCTAGAGTTTTCGGGCCTCGAGAGCTTAGAGTTTATGTGGGCGCATGTGTGTGTGTGTGTGTGCGCGCGCGGTTTGAAGCTTTACTTACGGCTTTAGGGTTTAAGGGTTTGCTGTCACGTAAGCTGCAGGTCATTCACAATCCGACCCCCCTCTCTCACCACATCGCCAAACCGTGGCTGACCAAACCCTTCAACTCCGAATCTCCAGAAGAAGTTACCAGCCGTTGGAAGCTCTTCAGGCGCGTCATGCGTGGGGCTAGAATTTCTTTGACACAAGGTCGTTTTATTGCTCGGGTTAAAATTGCAGTGGTAGCGGGGGCAAGCAAATGTTGCGGCAATTCCAGCAGCGGAATGTGGTAATGACATGTTTGCACTTTGAACCTTCATTTAGTAAGAGTCGTCGTAGCGGTGGTCACTGGTTGTCGTCACCATCGTCGTACTTCAAGCAGTAGAAGCTTGACGTAGTGATGCGTTGCCACAAGTTCCAACTTCCCTATCGCCATTTTGCATTGCGTGGGGTCAGAGTCGCGACTGGCCTGTGGTGCTTCAAGCCGCAGCACAGAGACAGTAGCCGATGGCTGGGGGCGCACTAGACTTCACAGAGTACGACCTGGATCAGTGGGAAAATGCAGTGAGTGATGATGAGTCAGCGGAGTTTGCCCGTATCCAGGAGGAGCGCCAAAGACGAAGAACCGCAAGTCAGGCTTTAGAGCCAATCTGGAATGCAGCCGAAAGTGGCAACCTCGAGATCTTGAGCGCACTTGGTGTTGGAAGCCCACGGGTCAATGCCAAAGATATGGACGGGTTTACTCCTGCGGCACATGCTGTGTTTGCAGGTCAACTGGAGGCTTTTAAGCTCCTGGTCAGTAAGGGCGCCAACTTGCTTGCAGGAGACACGTTTGAAGGCAGCCCGCTTAAAACCGTAATTCGCTTTTGCGTTGAAGAGGTTTATGTCCCTCATGCTGCAGATCCGCATGCGTTCTTGGCAGCCACACCTCCAGAATACCTCACATACTGTCTAGTCGGTAGCGGTCTGGCTGCGTCCCACGAGTTCGCGCTGAAAGAAAGCAGGTTGAAGGGGCTCACCATGGTTGTGCAAATGGCAGGGCCAGGGTGCATAAACATGCCCTGCAGGTACAAACAGAAGACACCTGTGCATTACGCTGCCGCTGCGAAAAATACAGCTGCATTGCGGTTCTTGATTGATGCTTGGGCAGACCTCTCTGCGAAAGACAAGGAGGGAAAGACGGCACTGCAATGCGCGCAAGGGGCTGCAGTGGCGTTGCTGCACGGGGCCGCCAGGGAACGACGTCTCTCTGTACTGAAGCCCTTGGTGTTGTATCATCATCAGTCTCCAAGCAGCCCACATGGTCAAGAAGCATGCACGCGACGTGCATACTTAAAGCCGGGTCTGGGTGGTCAGGTTCGCGAAGGCATTGAGATCTGGACTCAGCTGACAAGTGTTGCTGGCTCGCGAGTGTTGGAGTTTCTCCTGGGTGGTCCAGTTTGCATAAAGCAGACGTGGTTGCACAAACATTTTGTGGAAGTGGCAACCCTGACGCATGAAGTCTCCCTGCTGCAATCTCGAGTTCGAGACTTGGAGCAATCCTTGGCGCGCGAGCAGGAGACTTGTGCTCGTTTCAAGATGTTGCTTTCTACCTCAGGTATGGACACTGCAGGACGCAGTCGCCAACTGAACTGCTGGAACTGCTGGGCTTTCTGCAGGTAAAGCATGGGGCGGCAGGCCAACCTGTGCCATGCGTCCTCACCTGCCATCTCTTGCTCTATGCGACATGAGAACAAGACTGAGGACCTGTCTCAGGGTTGCTGTGAGGGAACTCCTGACTACCCCCATTGTCTGAAGTGCCCCATTGTAGTAGCTGCGTTGACATTCATTCCATTTGAAATCCTGGCTATACTGCCTGTGGGATGTTCCCCCCTATACTAACAGTCCTTAATAGGGATCAAAACAGGGGGTTCTACAATCCCTATCAAGGACTGTTAGTACAAGGGGGAACATCCCAAATTAAGCCCCTTAAAACCTTAAATGCTGCACAAACCCAAACTGGGTGGATCCTAAGTAATCTTCAATCCTTAGGGGGTTTGCGGATTAGGCGGTTTGCGGATGAGAACATTACGGATTACAACGGTTTGCGATTAGACGCTTCATTAGTCGGCTACTACCAGTTAGCAGTGTTTGCGTTCTGTGTTTGGTTGCTTCTGTGCTGGCAAGGCCGCAAAAATTAGTGCGACGGAAACGACGGAAAACAGCGAAATTAAGAAAATTAGCGACGCAACGACGGAAAAAACAACGGGAAATAAGCCTGACAACCCGAACCCTAAACCCTCCGCTGCTCACCGGCGTGCGCTTCGTCGTCTTCATCGTTTTTTTTGGCGACGAGGCACCTTTGGGTGGGAGGGGTTAACCCTAAACTCTAACCCCCAAACTCCAAACCGCGGTTGACTTGTATAAAGGCTTAACCCACTGCCCTGAACTGAACTGACCTGTTCACAAGCAATGCCCAATGATTAGGAGGGGCACTTTAAAAGGAAACTTTGATCCAGTGGCATAGCGGTTGGGCTCTGACCCATCCCCAAAGGAGCTTTTTGGAATCTTGATTGGGAGGGTCAAGGGGAGGGTCTCCAGGTCGAAGCCGAAAAAAGGTGCCGCGAAAAGGCCAGCGAAAAGGTACCTTTTTTGGAGTCTTTGGCTCTGCTGAAGCCGAAAAAAGGTACCTTTTCGCTCGCCTGCAGCAAAAAGGTACCTTTTTTGGAGTCTTTGGCTCTGCTGAAGCCGAAAAAAAGTACCTTTCGCTCGCCCGCAGCGAAAAGGGACCTTTTTTGGAGTCTTTGGCTCTGCTGAAGCCGAAAAAAGGTACCTTTCGCTCGCCCGCAACGAAAAGGTACCTTTTTTGGAGTCTTTGGCTCTACTGAAGGCGAAAAAAGACGCCCGCAAGAAAGTGAACCCGCAAAAAGGTACCTTTTTGGCTCGCCCGCAACGAAAAGGTACCTTTTTTGGAGTCTTTGGCTCTGCTGAAGCCGAAAAAAGGTACCTTTCGCTCGCCCGCAACGAAAAGGTACCTTTTTTGGAGTCTTTGGCTCTGCTGAAGCCGAAAAAAGGTACGTTTTGGCTCGCCCGCAGCGAAAAGGTACCTTTTTTGGAGTCTTTGGCGCTGCTCCAAACCCTAAACCCTAATTTAGGGTTTGGGTTTTTTGGGTTTAGGGACGCGATGCACAAAGGGACTGCACAAGTTTTCAACCTTAGGGTCTCAGAGAAGATCTTATCTTGCAAAGGAGGAAAGGGAAATCTAACTGCTCACAGATGTAAGCAAGTACATTCCAAGTGTCTGCTCTGACCCTACGACGCTGCTGCCCCATGCATGAAATCTGCATGGACAGCCCAGCTCCAAACCCCAAGCCGTAACGGCCCTAAACCCTAAACCCAAAACCCTAACCCCAAACCCCCTAAACCCTAAACCCTAAGCCTTATAAACCCTAAGCCCTAATCCCTAAACCTTAACCCCAGTTCTGCTTTCTTCCAGCTAACATAGTAGGTCGACTCGGAGAGCGTCACAGTGGCGGCCCTCTCCGCCCTCGCCAGGCATAGGGAGTCGTTCGGACTTCTGTGGGGGGTAGGGCAGGGTTTTTCCTTGGTGTAGGGTTTAGGGTTTAGGGCTTAAGTTTAGGGTTTAGGGTTCAGGGTTTAGGGTTCAGGGCTTAAGGCTGAGAGTTTGGGGTTTAGGTTTTTAGCTTTTTTGGGTTCAGGGTCTAGGGTTCAGGCGGTTTGGGGTTCTAGGGTGGGAACACATATACTACCATTGGGGGCAGGTATTCATCGGGGTATCTGTAAGCAGGTTCCATGAATCACCAGTAAGCAGAGCCTGCAGGGCTTTCGGGTCTTGCTTGCTTGGTAATTTCTCCAAGAGGCTTAGGGCTTAGGGTTCAGGGTTTAGGAGTCGTTTTGGGTTTGGGTGTGGGTTTGGGAGTCGCCCATCTCTACGACTCAGCCGTATCGCGGGCTTAGCGGATTTAAGCCCCACACCCCACACCCCAAACCCCAAACCCCAAACCCCAAACCCCAAACCCCAAACCCCAAACCCCAAACCCCAAACCCCAAACCCCAAACCCCAAACCCCTCTACCGACAGCCCAAAGAACCGAGATCCCCGAAGTCCTTCCTAGGCCTCCCAAGCGCTTTGGCCCATCGCAGCCCTCAGCTCCCTTGGACCCGAAAACCCCAAACCCCAAAAGCCTATAACTTGGGATGTTCCCCCTTATACGAACAGTCCTGAAACGGGATTCTAATAATAATAGGGGGTACTATAATCTCTATTAAGGACTGTTAGTATAAAGGGGAACATCCCAACCCTAAACCCTAAAAGCCACAAACCCTAAACGCTAAACCCTGTACCCTGAATCCTAAGCCAAAACCCTACCAAACTCCAAGCCCTTAACCCTTGCCTTGTCCTCAAAAAGCCCAGAGTCGCTATGAGTTCTCGCACGAATCTTCATTGAGGCTCTCATGACCCCAAGCCCTAAACCCTAAACCCTAAACCCTAAACCCTAAACCCTAAACCCTAAACCCTAAACCCTAAACCCTAAACCCTAAACCCTAAACCCTAAACCCTAAACCCTAAACCCTAAACCCTAAACCCTAAACCAAGGCTTCGGGCCCCCAAGGCTACAGAAAGTAAGGGCATTTGTGTTGCAGCCTTGGGCCCCGATGCTCTGCAGGGTCCCGGGTGCATCTTATGTTAGCGGTAAGGGGTTGTTTACGGGCTGCAGTGACTTAAAGGGCTTTAAGGGCTTGAAGGGTGTAAAGGGTTTAAAGGGCTTCAAGGGTTTTAAGGGTTTAAAGGGTCTTAGGGCTTTGAGGGTGTTAAGGGTGTTAAGGTTTTAGGGCTTCAGGGTTTGACGAATTTCGGCCCCTTCAGAAAAGTTGAAGGCATGTGCCTCTCTAAGCCCTGTAAACCCTGAACCCCAAAAGCCTGCATCTAGAGCCCTAAACCCTAAACCCTAAGCCCTAGACCCTAAACCCTAAACCCCAACCCCCAATCCTAAATCCCAAATCCCTTGCTTTCTCGCAGCCGCGGCCACCGCAGCTACTACCCGCTCTCAGTTTTGTTTTTTTAGGGTGTAGGGTTCAGGGAGTTGTGTGTGTGTGTGTGTGGAGCTTCAAATTGCTCTCGAAGCCTTTCTAGAGGTGCGTAGTTGTTAAGTTTTCGCAAAGGACTTGTAGTAGTTGGTCTAGGCCATATTTCGAGTTGTACATGCTTAGGGTCCCTAGACTCTTAACACCACGTAAACCTTGAAACCCAAACCCTAAACCCCAAACCCTGAACCCCAAACCCTAAACCCTAAACCCCAAACCCTAAACCCTAAACCCCAAACCCCAAACCCTAAAACTCGTAGTAGCAAGCTCCGCCCATCGGCTCTGCACACACAGGGAGGCCGGCCGTGGTTGTTGCTGGATCGTTTCATGGCTTAGGAGGGTTTAGGGTTTAGGGTTTAGGGTTAGGGTTTAGGGTTTAGGGGAGTTAGGGTTTAGGGTTTAGGGGAGTTAGGGTTTAGGGTTTAGGGTTTAGGGTTTAGGGTTTAGGGTTTAGGGTTTAGGGTTAAAACCCTACGACCATGGAAGCCGATTTTTTTTTTGAAGCGAGGTGCCAGATCCACACCATCTGGGGTAATTTCCAAACCCCCTGCACTCCTAAACCTCGAACCCTCAAACACTTAAACCCTAGAACCCTGACCCTAAACCCTAAACCCTACCAGGACCCAGAAGGAAGATTAACCCCTGAGCTAAATCGGTGCTGATCTGGGCGGCAGACACTTAGTATCTGTAGCTGAGTGAGCACACTTTACACTCTTGGGATACTACAACCCCTTATATAACCCCTATAATCACTGAAAGTGTACACTGCTTTGGGGCTTATGTACTCAGCAACTAAGGAAAAGGCTTGAGCGGGCCACCACCAGAGCCTGTCGAGAGGTTTCTGAAGGCTTTTGCTGGGTTCACAGTATATAACTCCAAGAAGTTGGAACATCGTTATCCTCCTACCCCTAAGAGGGTTGCTATTAAAGGGAAAGCTCTAGTCGTCCTTAAACCATGTTCCAACTTTATAGAGTTTACTGTAGAGGTTTAGGGTTTTATTGTGTTTTAACTTTTAGGGATTGTGGTGGGAGGAGGGGAAGGAGGTTAGGGCTTTAGGGTTTTAGGCTTTTTGGGGACGGGGTGTAGAGTTTATGTTTAAGGCTTGGGTCTTTGCAGGGTTCAGGGTTTAGGCCTTTTGGAGTTTTCCACCCCTACAGCTCGTAAGAGACGCATGTCTGACTCTCGGAAAGGCGATGGCCCGTTCCCCGGAGGAGGCCTTCTTTCAACTTGGGATCTTCCTCGTCAAGGTGGGAGGGTGCATGGGGCTTGATCAAGATTCGCGCTGCAAACCTATGCTGCAACATAAAGGGGGCCCAAAGGACCCGTGATCTAGGACAAGCCTCCATACGTTGGGGCGATCAGCGAACTGCTTTGATAACTATAGGCCCAGAGAACCCGAAACCCTACACCCTAAGCAGCTCCAAAACCCCTAAACCCCTAAACCCCTAAACCCCTAAACCCCTAAACCCCTACACCCCTAAACCCCTAAACCCCTGAACCCCTAAACCCCTAAACCCCTAGACCCTACGTAAACCCCTAAACCCCTAAACCTGTAAACCCCTAAACCCCTAAACCCCT